GACCTGGGTGGGTAGCACCTTGTGTCACTCAGGTCTCATCTGGTCTTTCTGACCGCGTGATCTGAAGAAGCCTTCCAGCCCTGTCTTCTTTTCATCGTGGTTCTTATTTCTGAATGATGTACAGATACCACTGGGGACTTGTTCAGCACCTGCCTGTGGGATTTGCCACTGTACCCCTGGCCCCATTGCAGACTGGCTCTTTAGCCCAGGCTGGTCTTCACCTTGTGATCACCTTAACTCAGCCTCTCAAGTGCTGGGTTACAGCAGTGTGGCATGAGGCTCACCCTTTTCTCTTTGCCTACAGGATCCCGGTTGTGTGGGGTAATGGAGTGCTCCCGCCTACCCTTTTATCTTGCATTGTAGCCACAGTGTGACGAAGGAAGCGTAAGTGGCTGTGTGCTGGAAGTTTTGTTCTCCTGATGGAGTGCCGTAGAGGCAGTGCTGTCACGCCTGCAGCACCTTACTCTGCCATGTATGTGGTGGGGTTTTAGCAGTCGTCTTACGATAGTAAGGGGAAGACAAAGAGATTGTATTGACTGTTCTGTTGATACTAGTAGCATGTCAGACTTCATCATGGGTTAAAATTCTGTTTCTTAAAAACACTGTGAATTGTTTTGTGTGTTCGGCTGGTGCCGCAGACCACTACTAATTAATATAAACGATGTCAGTGTTGATAGAAGGAGATTGCTGTGTGAGGGAGCTAATTTGGGGAGGAGGATATGCCAATTCTGCTTTGATCTCATCAGTTGGAACTGCTGTAACATTTGACCTATAAATTGTCAAGATTGAGTAGTGAGGAGGTAGAGGGGTGAGCATCACTCACACACTCAGTGTGCACTGCTCCCCGCGTGAGCCCCTGATGCAGGCGTGCGTTTCCTTGTGTACTTTGACGCTGCATACTGTGTTGTGCTTTTACTTGTGGCTGAGTAGGGTCGTGTACACAAGATTATGCACACACCCTTGAAACAGTTGGAGGGTTTCCGGCTGCTGACTTGATCCTCACCTTCCGGGCTGACCGTAGGCCTGGCCTTTGCATGGGCTGTACGTCCAGCACAGCGAGTATAGATGGCGTGGGTGCAGGCTGCTCCCCAGTGGGTGTGACTTCACAGGCATGGTGGCAGACTGGTAGGGAAGGCTGGGGTTGGGGAGAAGAGGTCAGCTTTCAATTCTGTTTCTATTCTTACGCAACTTTTAGCTTTGTGATGGAATCAGTTGCCTAACTTCTGTCCTCCAGCTTTTTCCTTCATCAATTCTGAACGCTGCCAACTCAGGACATAGGAAAGTGTGATAAAGTGTTGGATCTCCTGAGAAGAAATCTCTGACTTCCTTTTGATAATAAAGCCGCGTCGGCACCCTGAGCTGTGGCTTTAGAACAGCGAGGGGCGGACTTGCTGCCTGTAGCGTGTGGGGCAGGCAGTGCCCGGCCTCTGTGGGTGGGCAGAGCTTGTGCAGAGCCCTGGTCTTGGGAGGGTGTGGGGCCCTGGGCTCCCCCCAGCACCCAGCATGACAAAAGAGAAGAATAAATGCTTCTGAGAACAACTATTTGATAGTAAATTTAGTTATCTTGAACTTTTAAAAAAGTGTATTTTCCTAACTTACATAAAAAAATACATTTCAAAAGATTTAGGAATTAAGAATGTAAGAACAACTTACACCACTTAATCTTCATTTAGAGGTAACTGTTAATGTTTTGCTATATTTCCTTCCGTTCTTTTTAACATACATATTTAAATTTTAATAACATTGAGATTAAGCATTATACTCATTTATGTCCTTTTTCTTTTATAATTATGTATTCAACATTTCTTCAGTTATTAAATAATTTGTATTATCTTTTTCTTTATAGTGCCTTAATTGGTTATATTCCATGTCACATAGGTAACCTAATTTAGAATCTTTTGTATGTATATTGCCCATTTTACAAAATTAAGATTTTGATATTGTAGCCATTGTTGTAATACTAAAAATGCACTGAAACCTTCAGTTTTTGTAATTTTTCAGGTTCAAACTTCAAATCAGTGGTTTTTTAAAAAGTGTGAAAACACATTCATGATATGACACTCAGCTATAAAAAGTACTTGGAAGTCATGCTGAAAGTCATCGGAATCTCATCTTGCAGTAATTCTCTGTCCATTTGTTTCTCTGTTATTGCTGCTGCTGCTGCTGCTGCTGCTGCTGCTGCTTTTAGGTCAGCTTTAACAACCACACTGTTATTTGAATCCTTTGATTCTGAAATTTTCCATTTAAAAAAGGAGTGAATTAGTGAAGTCTTCTGTAGAATTTCCATTTTTATTTGTCTTAAAATCGCATCTTCTTTGCCATGTCATGGTTATGTGCTAATAATACATTCAACTATCCATTAATATGCTTCTAAAATATTTTAATTTTTAGAATGCTAAAGTTCACAGAAAATTGAGCAGCAGCCGCATTCCCGCGTGCTTCCTCCGCTTCCGTCAGTGTTGCTGAGCAGAGCCCACCTTCGTCTCCCGCAGAGCGCACGCGTGGCAGTGGCGTTGCCCGCAGCCCGCAGTGTACGTTGGGGTTCACCCTGCGTGTGGAGACGTGCACTCTGCATACAGCACCATGCAGAAAAGTTTCTGTGTCTGTTGTTGTCTTGATAGCTCATTTTTTTTCCAGCACAGAATAATGTTTAATTATTTGACTATACCAGTTTACCTTTAAAGTATTTTATGCTCAGAAAAATTGGAAAAAGAATAATTCTTGTAGTGTGGCTACATAAGGAAGCCTACGTCATAAGACATTTTAGAATGTGGGTGCATTTTAAAGGGTGAGGATTTCCTTTCTGACCCTTTCCCCTGGGGACACAGAGTGGATTCTTGTATTGATAGGCAGGGTAATCCTGTACTAATAAAACCAAATGACTGTCTGGTCTTGAAGGAAGGGTGAAGAGGTGATACGCTAGCTCTGCTGTGCTGATGTGAAAGTGGTAGCGTGTGGACACCTGTTAGATGCTGGGTTTTACAGGTGACATTAAGAGAATGTAAAAGACAGGCAGTACTCCAGCTTTGGCCCAGCGAAAGATGAACCCGGTGCCCCCCTTTTTTGTAAGATGCGATAAAGCAGAGCATGTATGCACTGGAAGCATGACACGGAACTGTAAGGTTTGGCTTTCATCACTTGTACTGTTTTAAGTACTTGATTGTTTTTAAAGAGTTCCTTTCCATGAAACTATGTGTTTTATAGTGAATGTGTCACTGAACTGTTTTTAGTCCAACATTGCTTCTTTATGCCAGGCCTACCTAGGTATTTTAGCTATATTTTAAGAGAATCTGTAAATGTAAAATATAAGAATTTGGGGGCCAGGGAGATAGCTCAGTAGAATGAGCGCTTGCCTGGCTAGTGCAAGGGCCTGAGTTTAATCCCCAGTACCACCAAAAAAAAAAAGAAGAAAAAAGAAAAGAAAGAATTTGATGATCCTTCAGTTGAACGTTGACATTTGGAAGCACTTAGTTTTATCCCTGAGATTACCATTTAAAAAAAAATTATGTTTAGCTAATTAATGGTGCATATAAGTACTGTTGATATTTTTTAGCATGTAAAAACTCACACAGACTTTTCAGAATGCGTCTGTATGGTCCTGATCGCCAATAGAAAAGTTTTTTTTCTGTCAAACATCATTCATAGTTTTTCAAATTAACTTTTTTTTATTTTTTTAAAATTAATTTTATTTATTTATTTGTGTGTGTGTGTGTGTGTGTGTGTGTGTGTGTGTGGCCAGCTCAGCCCACCAGGGGGCGGGGCTGGCTGGCATGTGGTGCTGGGGGATTGAACCGCGGTCCCTGAGCTTTGCTAAGCTTGTTCTAAGTAGGTGCTTTAGACCACTGAGCCATCTCACCAGCCCCTCAAATTAACTTTTAATGAAAATTTAAAACTAACAGTTGACTTAGCATAAAGACTCAGAGTTGCTTAGAGTGGTTCTGAGCCCCCAGCTTACAGGCTGCGCAGGCTGTGGGTAGCCCACTCCATGCAATTCTGAGTGTGTCTGCTTTTCTTACAGGCGGCACCTCTAGGTGCTAACCCTTCCCACAGGCCGAGCCTGCTGCATGCGCACGACCGCGCCGCCTGGTGGCTTGTGCTGCTCACTGGCCGTACAAGTAGGTCTGACCATGTGCATAGGTCATTTCACTAGTACAGACTAATAAAGGACTGCCCAGCGGACAGTCACTTGTGCACTGTTGGTGGTTCGAGGCGCCTGGCAGTAAGACCGATGGGTCAGGGCTCGGCGTGAGGGTGTGAGCGCGTGCGGCAGGAGCACTGCTGCACAGGAGCAGGCTGGCTGTGTGCTCACTAGGTTACTGCAGAGATAGTTCCGTCGAATGGGGATCTCTGAAAAGACGTGCTTTTAAAAGTAACTCTGTATTATCACTTTTGGTCTTTTTAACAATTCTCTGTGGTAGGGGAATCGACATCTTCTGCCCTCTTTTATAGATTTTTTTTTTTGTGAAACTGGGGATTGAACTCAGGCCCTTGCATTGTCAGGGAAGCATTATTCTACTGAGCCATCTCCTGGACCCTCCTCTTTTATAGATGATAGAGTGATTCGCCCACAGTCCCATGGAGATAAGCTTTCGTGGAACGGAGACGAGTGGATCTTCGCACGTCTGTGGAGCTTCCTGTCTCTGTGCTAGGCTGACAGACTCCTGCATAGTATTTCTCATGGTGGGCGACACCATTCTGTGGAGTGTGTGTTACTAACAGAACACATCACAGCTGACTCTTGAGTCTGTGCCTTCAAGCTAATGTGTCTAGAAGACTTCTTTGGGAGGCTCGGGCAGGGCGTGAGTGTAACTTTCGATGGTCTAGTCCTCCTAGAGAACCGTGCAGCTCCTGTAGACGAGCTGTGTAGTGCCGATAACGGGCTAAGCACTGCATGCGTGTGACCAGGAGAAGCTAACACGAGAACGGAGGCGAAAACGTCCGATGCTCTCGCGCCATCCTTGTGTCCTTGTGTCCACTGGATTCTGTCCTTTCTCTTACAGATGCTGAAAATGTCATCTAAGGAGAAATATCCCTTGTTTACTTTCGTACATGGACACTCCAGAGACTATGATTTTGCATCTACTACAGCCAACGAAGAGGACTTCTTCTCACAGGATGAAGAGAGAAGATTAAAAAGATTCAGCACAGAGGAGTTCGTTCTGCTATAGGGACGGTCACTTGCTGAGAACTCATTTGACAGGAAAGTGAAGAGTAACAAGGACATTCAAAGCTGCTTTCACTAATAGACAAATATTATACATTCTCTTAAAAAATTTTGGAAATACATGAGTTTAAAGATAGTTTTCTGAAGTAACTGAGTGACTCCTGTGCTCTAATAACTGCGAGGTGACTCTGGCTGCATCCGTGTCCCCGAGGCCCGCTGCTGCGCCTCTTCCTGACTGCGAGCCCGCAGCCCCGCAGCTCTGAGCCTCCCACCTGTGTGGCCCGAAGGCTGCGATTGCCAGGCGCTTGCAAGCCTCGGTGTCTGTCATGAGCAGGAGGGCAGAGCAGGAGTCTTCAGTGGTCCACGGCGCCCTGCTCTCCATGGAGCTGGAGGGCTCTTTGGACGTGTCTTAACAAATAGTACAGTCCTTGATAGCTGTGACGTGCATATAATTACATAAGCAGAATTTTCGCGCTAAGGTGATCCTTAACAATACGACTTTATAATGGCTCCTTGTTGTGCTGCAGGAACGCGATCCATGAGGAGTAAACGTGAAGCGTTAGCTTTTCCACAGAGGTGAAGGTCATGCTGTTAAGAGTACCTACATCCATTCAGATCAGATAAACGAAATATAAAATGGTAGTAGTGTTATTTTCTATCTCAAAGTTGGAATTTTAGGGGTCGGGGAGATGGCTCAGTGGAATAAGCGCTTCCCTGGCAAGCGCAAGGGCCTGCGTTCAATGCCCAGTTCCGCAAAAAAAAAAAAAAAAAAAAAAGGAATTTTAGGAAAATTCTGCTTAGGTGGTTTTTAAATCTGCAAATAAATACCAAAGAAAACATTGGTAGATTCTCCTCTGATTCTGGGTAAAGCAGAGTACTAATGTTTAGAAGCTGAGGCCATTTACAAGGTAAATCTGCCTTATGTGTGTTATGCGCTACTTAAAGGCAAATTTGTGATGTAAAATATCAATTATTATTGAGCCAGGATTATAAAATAAACACCTGAATAAAGACATGTGAACCTAAAATGCCTTTGGGTTTTAATGTTGGGATTATTGTAATCCTTTCATTTGAAAAATCATTGTATCCAGTGAGCTCTATTTATTTATAATGAAAGCAAATAATGTTGCTGTGAAAGCAAAATATTAGCTTATATTATAGAGTTCTGTGTTTAGGTGACTCATGATAAAGGCAAAGTTTCACGCCGTCTGAAGTCATTGATCTTTTCTCAGAAGAGCCTGTGTCTTGGAGCCGCTTGTGGAGCGCAGCGGAAAGCAGGCTGGCCGCTTAGTGTGTCTGAGGAGAGAAACAGCGTCATGTTGCGGTGAGGATGGTGTGCGGAACAGAAACAGTCTGAAATGTAGAAGTGTCCCTTCCGCTAGATGAAACCTGGACAGATGCAGTCCAGCACCACCCTAGAACGCGAAAGCAGAAGAGCAACGAGAAGCTGGTGATCCCCTGGGGTTCACGCGCCCGCGCCTCTTGTCTGGGCGCGGGGGTTACTGTTTCTGCGCAGCCCTTGCAGGGTTCAGCCTTAGGCACAGCAAGCTGCAGATGGGTCTGAGCTGATTGTCAGTGCTCTCTGACGAGGACCGTATGAAAGCCGAGCATTGCTTTAGAACAAGGAGAGCTTGGTATTTCCCCAGCTTAGGGATCATTTTTAAGTGGAATTTTGGAACGAAACAGAATTGTATGTGAACACAGATAAGGCAAGAGGAGGCAGAGCTTCCTTTGCATTGAGTTGCATTGCAAATACTGCACTTAGAATATCGAACAAACAAAATACATTGCGGTATTATAGCCAACCACGTGACTGGGAGTAAATAGAACCCCAGATCATTAGCATAATAGTAAGTGGGTGGAAAAAAAAGTTGTATGACAGTATGCATGAGTGAATGAATGTATAAATGAAAATGGAGAGTGTCTGCCAGATCTGGTGATGCGTGCTCATAATTCCAGCTATTTGAAAGCCTGCAGTAGGAGGTTCCAATGCTGGGGCCATTCTGGGCAGCGCAGGGAGTCCCTGTCTCACAATCTGAGAAAGAGCAAGGTTGTAGCTCGGCACTAGAGCACTTGCTAAGTATGTATGAGGGCCAGGGTTCAATCCCCAGAACTGGAAAAAGATTGAGAAAGGCCGGTGTGTTTATTTTGCTTGCTTGCTAATTCAGTGTCATTTGAGGTGGCCAAGAGTTAGGCAACAAAACTATCCCACTAGACTTAGAATAAAAATACGATGCAGCCTGGTTTTAGACTTTGTTTCAAACCCAGATTTCATTTGGAATTCAGACAGGCGCTGAACTCAGTCTCTGTGGCTTATGCTTGGCCTTAAGGCTAGAAAGGGCTGTCAGACAGGAGGAGGTCCTCTTAGAATGGTGATGGGGGAGGGCACCCTCCATGTGGGCCTCTCTAAGACCCTGGATTTTGCCATTAACATTTTAGAAGTGAGTTTTAGAAATTCTTGATACTGCTTTTTGGTAGTGAAGGTTTCTCTTGTCTCTTTCCCGTAAGATTTGACACTTTGAATACTTTTTTTGTCAGTATATTAGTAACTGGCAGGCAGTCTTGAAAGTCATCATATGTTGAATGAGTGAGTGAAAAGGTATATCCAAAGTGTAAGTATATCCAAAAAAGCCCCCGAGGTATTCATTTTCTGCTTTTATATTAAACTAAATCCATTAGATCTGTATAGTGACAAGACAACTTTATTGGATTAAAAATGTGGGTTGCTTTTTTTTTTTTTGCAAAACCCGGGATTGAACTCAGGCCCTTGATCTTGCCAGGCAAGCGCTTAGTCTACCGAGCTATCTCCCTGGCCCCCTGTAGGTTGTTTTTATGTCTTGTTAACCTTAGGATATAACATTACACAGTGGCAAACACACCTGAAAGTATACATGTTAATTCGAACTTGGTTCCAGAGGAACTATAGAAAAAGAATAGCAAAAATGACTTACCTGTATATTGTATCCAGCTTTTGCCCAGAAATCTCTGCTTTTCCAGGCAATCTCTAGTTACCATCTATTATTTCATGCAAAAAAACATTTTCTTCCTGGTCAAATCATATCAAGCCAGCCATTTTTTCTCTAGTTTCTTTTTACTAGGAAAAAGTTGCATTTTTAGGGTTGATCACAGATCATCCTCAATGTCTTAGATATCTTCTTGCCACATATTCATGTACAGTATAAGCATAAGAAAACTGTAAAGCATTTTCCAAAAACAGGAAACAAGAGGAAGGGTACATAATAAAAATAATTTATGTTTGCGTTAAACCACTGTGTGAATGAATGTTGAAGTAGACTTAAGGTGAGAGAGAAATAATTAAAATACATCAGTAGTGACATAAAGCCAAGATAGCTATAACCTTTGATAGAGGAAATTTCATGGAAAGATAAGGTCTTGTTATTTTCTATAAAAGGGGCAAATATCTTCCCAATTTTTTAAAAGAATAAATATTGTTACAGCCTCAATCTCATCACTGAGTCATAATTCACTAGTGCTACTCACATGAGCATTTACACCGAGGAGTGTGAGATACTGAATGGAAAAGGTGAAACGTCAGACCAGGAAAAATTGGAAGCATCCTATTGATTCTAAAATATGAATTTTATGTCACTTTGTAGTTTGAGTCTTAAGTCAGTTTAAGAATCTTAAGAATTTTTCTGTGGCTTCCTAGTTATTGAAAGACTTCCTCCTTGCCTATAAACTTTGAAAAATATTGCGTTTGGAGCTGGTGCAGCAGACAGTCTTGAACAGCTCCCTCTCATCCTTTTTATAATCCCGATGTTATTGGTGGTGAGCAATGGCCCAAAGCAGTCACAACTGCAGTTATAAAATTTCACTTACTCTCCCACAATGATAAGAAAAATATGTTAAATGTAGAGAATGCATGTTTGTTATTAGGTAGAAAAATTACTTTTTTATTCTTACCATGCTACCCTCTAAGCAATCCCTACAGAAATTTAGAAACTGAGACTTCTGAGAATGTCATCCGAGAGCAAGTCATAAAACGTATTTTGAGAATTATTGTTCAAATTATTCAGGATTAAGTTAATTACAAGTATGATAAATACATACTAAGTTAATGAAAAGTGAAAGATCATGGATTTAAAAATCGTTTAAAACAGAAAACATAAAGTTGGAAATTGAGTAGAAGTCTGAAAAAAAAAGATGGAAAAATTCTTGACAGCGAGGGTCACGTGTCCAGGCCAATCCACATTGCGGGCAGACTCATAAAGTTGCACGAATTTAAAAACCTTGCAGACTGGAGTACTTTTAGCTTGGATGTAGGCACAGGAGGGGCATGAGTGTTGGCTGCCGACCTGCAGGGGGCTCCAGTGGATGTGGGGTGAGTGTTTCTCCCCTCTGGGTGAGCTGCATGGCTACTCTCTGTTAACACTGACACACTGCTTCCGTTATACTCAGTACTGTTGTGATCGGTTCACTTGTACTACAATATAGCTCATGAATTTAAGATTGGGAGCAACAAGACAATTAACATGGGCTTGGGACTGGGATGTTCACATAACGTCAGGTTAGGATAGTTCAGAGTCAACAGGCTGGTTGGAGTAGAGGGTTTTCATGGAGAGATACTCAGGTATATTTAAATTATTTTCAAAATAGATATATTAGAAAACAATTCAATGATACTTTTGATACTTGAACATATTAATTTCATTTTTCCATAGTTCCTTCTACGCTAGTTCAGGTTATGTTATTCCTTATAGTGTGGGCTCCTGCATGACTGTTTCCCATTTGGTGAAGGAGCTCTCACTCGTGAAGTCTCTGATATTTTGATTCAGCAAGGCATTGTTCTATGCCTCCTGCTCGCATAACCTGTGGTAGGTTCCCAGACCCAACCCCCATGCTTTGCTAGTTTTATAGCCACTGGCCCTTGTCCAAACCTAGGGATATTCTTCTTGTTGTATGTAGTTTGTTCTTGTAAATACTTGAGACAGTTGAATGTAAAGGAACTTTAAGGAGCAACTCCCTTTCCCAGGGAGTATCAAGCAGTATTGTAGCCAGGGATACAGCTCAGTGGCGTAAGCCCCTACCTGGCAATGCAAGGTCCTGAGTTCGGCCCTTAGACACACACATGCGCACACGTGCACACATGCACGTGCAACACGCACACACACACTGTAAAAATATTAAAAGCCTATCTTTAATCAGATAGTCTTGGAATGACTGTGATGACACAGCTCCAGCGTGTGATGGACGCTCTTTCTGTTGTTCTTTGTAGTGGGCATGTAGTTGACAGACGGCAACCTGACTCTAGTAGAGCCATCTGTGCTTTGCACTATGGCTCCTGGTTAGTTTTATTTGTATGTTAAGTTTAGTAGACCTACATTTCTTACCACCAGTTTCATCACTTTCCTTTTCTTGTTTTCTCAACGTATTTGTAAAATAAGTGGTAATAAAAAGTCCAGGAATTTTATAAGCTGCTGTTTGGTGTAGGGGTGTTGATTACATATATGTAATACCTTTATAAGGCCAAGATAACATCTTTGTATTGTAGTCATCTGTTAGCTTTGTATTATTGTAACAAGATCTCTGCAATAATCAACTTTAAAAAGGTGGAAGTTCTGTGGATGCCCTAGCCTGCGGTCTACCGGCCCTACTGCTGGGGGCCTGCAGTGAGGCGGGTGGCAGGGCACAGCGGAGGGAACTGCCATGTGTGGAAGGCAGAAAGCAGAAGCGGAGGGTGAGCTCTGGGCCCCTCAAGGCCGCACTCCTGGTCACTGGCTTCCTGCCCTGGGGCCCACCTCTGGGGGACCAGTCCAGGCCATGGGGTAGCTCCAGTGGCATAAGCACCTACCTGGCAAATGCAAGGTCCTGAGTTCGATCCCTACACACACACACACACACACACACACACACACACACTATTTTTACAAAAGTATTGTAAAAATATTTAAATAGGTTTACTGGGGCATGATGCACATTAGGCGGTCCCCTTCTAAAGTATACAACCCACCGGAGCTTAGTACAGTCATAGAGTTGTAAGGTGGTTGCCACTGTG